TTTTCGCTGAGAGCGGGGACCTCCACCGGACCCGGCCTGCGGTCCCACATTTATACCGATGTGAGCCGGTGAGCGCCGGGCAGCTGTGCGTGCATCATCAACACAGCGCCGTTTGGATGGAGGCTGCTTGTCTCGCTCAGGTGCGCGTTTAACACCGCTTGGGTGGTGATCGTGCGGTTCTGATTGACAACAAGTTATTTCGCTTACCGTGGTGTCACGTGAGCGTCTGGGCATGTGATGGAGCGACGGTGGATTTAAAAAACCTTTATTTAAGGACACCGGCTCTCTATGTGTGGAGGATGTGTGTGTGTGTAGCGGCTGTGAGCTCATCCGAACTTACAGACTGGCTAAAAACAGGCATTTTGATCTTTGAAAAATCATTTATTTCAATTCCTGTGTCATTTATACACACATCCTTCGCAGACCGTCATTTCTTAAATCTTTTCCCCCGTGAGCTCTGCGGTTTGTTTGCCCCGAGCGCCGTCTGCAGGCGATCTCTGGGGAAACGCTGAAGTGTAGGCTGCCGGAATGAGGAGGGGTGGTCTCTGGCGGGCGGGGCTGGTGGTGGAGCTGTGCGAGACGAAGCTGCTGCTGCCGTGGAACGTCGATGTTTCTGCCTCTGCTCTCGACGGTCTCTCCAGCGGGCTGGGGGACGGGATGAGCCGCGCGGCTTGATGAGATGGCGCACAGCTTCCGACATCTCCTCCGACTGCTTCGAATTCGCCAGCATGGTCTTCAAGCTGCTTCTGAACAGCGCGTCCGATGAGATGGGGCCCTCCATCAGGTCTTTGTGCAGCTTTTCCGGCAGCAAGGGAGAGTGACGAAGCCAGGTGGAACGTTGGATTACCGTCATCCACGCTGCAATCCTCGACAGGCAGACCGTGGAAGCGGCGCACATGTTGAGGATGGCGTCTGCCGATTTACACAGGGAGCTCTTTGTCTCCTCTGGCAGGTCTGAGGCCTCTAGCCTCTTCGACATGCTAAATGCTAACAGCGCCACGTTGTTGTTTGCCGCGGCCGCCTGAAAAGCACACTGGTGGGCTCTGTTGGAGAGCGCGGTCACCGCCTGGTCGTGTTTCCCCGGAGGGACGGGACGCTTCAGCCTGGACAGCTTCGCTCCGAAGGCTTCCGCGAGGCTTGGCTCAAGGGGGGGTACCGAGGGATAGCCCCGCTCGGTGAACCCCTCCACTCTGGTGATGCGTGGGATCAGTGGAGACGGGCGCCCTTAACCTACCAGGACCGGCTGCGGCCTCGTTCCAGTACGCTGTCACCGCTGGAAAACGAGGCCAAATGGGATCAGGACGGCGAGCCGGCGTGGAGCCAAACCTTCCCGCAAGATCATCCGATCTGAGCGGGGGCGGGGGGGGGGGGGGGGAGGGGACGGAGAGCACCTTTACGCTAGCAGCTTCCCGGATAATGGCGGGCAGCTCCGAGAGGAGCGCGCCGACGGCAGGGAGCGGTGTGGTCGCTGAAGCGGGAAACCCCGGGGGAGACGAGCATCCGCTCGGCCTCCCTCTTTCCAACACTGCGCTCCCCGGGAGGGAACGAGCGTCGGGGCTGCTGCTAGCGTCACCGGTCCCAGAGGAATCATCCGATTCACTCCGAGAGCCGGCGTCGAAGAAATCCATGGTGTCGTCCAGCGAACAGTCTCCCGCCACGGACAGGCAGTCCTCGATGGTAGCCTTAAACAAGGCTGCTCTCCTCTGCCTTTCCTCCGGTGGAAGCTCATCACAGAGGCGGCAGGAGGAAGCGCAGGCGACGTGGCGGGGACCCAGGCATCCCTCGCAGGTGTCGTGCCGGTCGAAGCTAAGCAAGTAACCGGTCTTGCAGGAGGGACACAAGCGGATGGTGCTAGAGCTGGACATCTCGATGAAAGGTCAGTTGTTTTTTTATTGTACTAGCTTGCTGAAGAAAAATGGGAGCAGATTACCCGCTCTTAATGTAATTTATACGGATCGGGTGGGGCCCACACAGCAGGTGGGCGTGGACTAATTTTTTCAGTATGATGCTTGCGCATAACGGGATAAACCCATCAGCAACAGCCTTAAAGGGCGAAGCCTATATGAAATGGAACTGCACAAAGACCTGATGGAGGACTCCATCACAGCGGACGCGCTGTTCGGGAGCAGCTTCAAAGTCATGCTGGCGAACTCAAAGCAGTCGGAGGTGTCAGAGGCTGTGCGCCACCTCGTCAAGCTGCGTGGCTCATTCCGCCCCTGGTCCGCTGGAGAGACCGTCGTGAGCAGAGGCAGAAGCAACGACGTTCCACGGCTGCGGCGGCGTCTCGCTCAGCTCCACCACCAGCCCCGCCCGTCAGAGACTAGCCCACTTCATCCCAGCAGTTCAGCGTTTCCCCAGAGATCGCCTGCAGACGGCGCTCTGGGCAAACAAATCACAGAGCTCACGGGGGAGAAGATTTAAAAAAAGACGGTCTGCGGAGGGTGTGAGTAAAAGTGACACGAAAGTTGAAATAAATATCATTCAATGATCAAAATGTCTGTTTCTAGCCAGTCTGTAAGCTCGGATGAACTCACAGCGGCTGGGCACACATCCTCCACACAACAAGCCGGTGTCCTTAAATAAAGTTGTTGTTCATTTTTTATTTTTTTTATTTTTTTTAAACTCACCGTCGCTCCAAGACATGACGAGACGCTCACACGACACCATGGTAAGCGAAATAACTCGTTGTCAACCAGAGCTGCACAATCCTCACCCAAGCGGTGTCAAACGCGCACTCGTGCGATGCAAACAGCGCTGCGTTGATGATGGCGCGCGCAAACACAGCTCCCCGCCACTCACCGGCTCACATCGGTATAAATGTGGGACCACAGGCCGGGTCCGGTGAAGGTCCTCGTTCTCGGCAAGAGCAACACACGCCTCACCGAAGCAAACGCGTGCGGCCTCGACGCAGGCAGCCGTCACCCACCGCGGCTCGGCAGCTCACGGCAGCACAAGCATGAGACGGCTGAATGAACCCAGTGACAAGTCTCGCCTCCAGCGAGAGCGGCGCGCGTTCCTCCAGAGAAAACGTGTGCTCCCGCGAGGCTCGCAGCCTTCACTCCAACAGCACGGCATAGATGAAGTCGCGCTCTCTACCTCTCAACGTTCGCACAGTGATGGTAGAACGCGTAGCCCCACAGCGTCATCAGCTGTCACACGCTTCGCCTCGGCACACACCGGCCCACCTGTACATGAAGGTTGGTCTGCGGTCCGATCGCAGTGCACGGGCGCGTTCAGAGCCTTTTCGAGGAAGCCTTGCCTTGGGTCACGTGGAAAACATTCCCGCGACACATGACTGCGGTCGAGGCGGCAGACTGGTGACATCCGAACAAAACATGACGCAACACTTAAATGCACGTCCACTCCACGAACGTTGCGCGGAGTGGCTAAAAACATGCTTGTCGGACAGATGGATGGACAGGGTGTTATGCAAAGGTTGCAGTTTGCAACCCGACCCCCTCCGTTCGGAGGAGTTTTAGAGACGGTCCTGTCATCACCAGACCAAATCTCATCCCTAAATGCAGAAGTCCAAGAGCTTCTGATAAAAGAAGTAATCTCCAGGGTTCCCAACGGAGAGGAAAACACAGGGTTTTACTCACATTACTTCCTGGTTCCCAAACGGACCGGAGGGACGAGACCGATTTTTGGATCTGTCAGCTTTCAACAAGGCGATCATGGACAGACCGTTTCACATGTTGACAACCAGACAGCAGTTGGACAACATCCAGAGAAACAAGTTGTTTTTTTTTCCGTCGACCTAAAAGATGCTTCCTGATGCATGCTCAATAATCCAGGTAGAAAAATCTAAAAAAGTTTAATCTGGTCCTCTGGACGTTCAAAAAAAACAAAACAAAGCAAATCAACAAAAAAATGTAGAAACGTTTCGTCTCTCATCCGAGAGACTTCTTCAGTCTGAGGTGCTGTATTCAGCTCAGTCTCTTAAATAGCACCTTCTCAGAGTGGATCAACCAGTTTTGCTGCTGACAACCAAAACCAGCTGATCACATGCTCAAGAAGGACCATCAGCCTAACAATGGATCATTAGCACACTGATGGCTGTTTACTGTTCACAGAGGGCTGAGTGATACTAGCAATCACAGCATTGTAAGAGGGGGGACAATTGAACCAGGAGGCCTCCACCCCTGTTTAACGATGGACGATTTCTTTTCACAAAGATGGCCTCCTTTACTCCTCTCTCAAAACATTGTTCCTCTCAGTCCAGGATGTGAACATCTTCATCCTTGAAAGAGTGACCGCTGGCCTGGAGATGAGTGTAGACCGCAGAGTCCTGGCCTGATGATGATGATCTTCTGTGCTGGGCCATCCTTTTGGCCAGTGGCTGTTTAGTTTCCCCGATGTAAGACTGATCACAGCCCTTCTGACACTGAACAGCATACACAATATTACTCTGTTTGTGCCGGGGGACTGGATCTTTGGGATGAACCAGTCTTTGCTGTAATGTATTTTTGGCATTTTGCAAATAATAGAAATAGATTACCAAAATAGAAAAATAATTTTGGTAATTCTAATTGACCTCAAATAGGAAAAGTTTATTCTGATTTCTCGTCGGTGTGGAAAAAAAAAAAAGCATGTCTTTTTTAAATAGTGTATGTAAACTTCTGGTTTCAACTGTAAGTGTATTTGATGGATAAATGTTCAAAGAGTAACCTGAAGATATAAAACTGTTCCTAATTATAATCCATTTTCATTTTTGATTTGAAATGAAGATTCCTGTTAGACCACCTTTAGTTGATAAGCATATCCATTTATTTTGGAGATCAATCATTTGAGCTACACCAATAGAATTTTCTACAGTGTATCCACACTAGACCTGTATTACATGTGCAATTTAGTTTTTATTGACCCCAGACTTAAACCTCAATTCTGATGCAGATCAAAAACAAAACTCATTTAAAGTTTGGATAGTTTCTCGTCAGATTTCTTACAGTAAAATCAAAGTCTACCCCAATTTAATCTTAAACCCCCCCTTTTTTTTCCTGTTAATCCAGACTCCATGGCAGTGAGAAGTTCTGTCCCTCCAGCTCTTTGCGAATAGCCGATGTGAACAGAGTCTGTTGCTCTGAGTTAAGGTGGATTTTCCAGTCTCCAGCAATCCCTGTGAGAAAAGCACAATGGATGTGATCACAGCAGTCAAAAGAAAAAGTATATTTAAAGTGTGTGTGTGTGTGTGTGTGTGTGTGTGTGTGTGTGTGTGTGTGTGTGTGTGTGTGTGTGTGTGTGTACACATGTTGTCGAGCTGGACACATGGAGAGTGGAGAGACAGAGTTGACTTTGAAAAGACAGTGACAAAGGTGAATTAACTGTTTGTTTGTCAGGGCTCCTGAAGGGGAACAGAAGAGAAAAGAAGAGCAGAAGAAAAGAACATAGAGACCCTTAAGAAACTGTTCCTCCTCTGTCTCTTGGCTTAACAGGATGCGCATCTCTTTGTGGGGTTTTGTCGACAGGGCGGGGGGAGGAGGGGGAGACACCTCCATGTTATCTGCTAGCTTTCCGCTGCATTTGTGATGTTGTTGATGGGTGGGGAGGGGGTAGGATGCATGAGAGAAGCGGAATGTGTAGATCTTGGCTAACGCATCTGTATTGCGCGCTGTAAGATTTTTGCCTTAAGATTTGAAAAGTCCAGCTAATGGTGTTATAGAGAACACCTTGAAGGAGAACGATGGTGTTAATGATAAATAATCCGCGTAACACAAGTTTTCTGGAAAGTAAACTTGTTAAAATCAGTGTATGGGGAAGGACTAGTGGAAAGGAAAATGATTGGAGAAGGGAGATGGATGTTATTCCAAGTAGATTGTGAAGGAAAGGGTAATATTTATTAACCTTTATTTAATCAAGCAAATCTAATTGAGATCACAGATCTCTCTTTCAAGAGAGGCCTAGGTCTGAAGGCAGTCTAACATGCACGTTTTTAGTCTGTGGGAGGAAACCGGAGTACCCAGAGAAAACTCGCACAAGAAGAACATGAAAACTCCACTGTTATGGCCTGAGGCCATTTGGTTGAGCAAAAGAGTGTTTGCAGGTTGGTTGCTGACTCAGCTGTGCTGTGGCCCATCTGGGATTGGCTGCTTCACTTCCTGAATCCTCCCCAATGGACATAGATCTGCATCCTGGTTGGCTTCTTCACCTCCTGCTCCTCCAACCACAGAAGAGGCCTGCCTATTTAAACACAGCTCTCCTTCCATTCAGGGCGGCTGTTGTTTAGAGCAGCTCGCCACTTGTAGGGGTTTCTGTGTCTTTGGACTTAGGTCTCTTGACTTGAATTGTTTGGCTTTGGCCAACAGTTAAATCCTGCAGTTGGTTGTCGGTGTTGTTTGTAAGCCCCTGAAAGCGGTTAGAAGGCTTACTTGTTTACTTTTGTTTTGACTCACTATAAATTTGGTTTGAGTATTCATTCACTTGGTTAACCTTAATTTTGTTATTGACTTGGTTGTGAAAACTTTGTTGTAATTTGTACTTTGAAAGTACCCCTCCTTTTTTGTTAATGTTAAATTTTATTTTAAACTGACCAATTAAATTGTTACTTTTATTCAAACTTGTTCCATCTGGGTTTTTAATGTTGCCTCCCCCTTCTCCTGGCTGAGCTGGGTCGTAACGCCACCCAGAAAGACCCCAGGATTGAACCCAAGAAAATAAGCTATGAAGTGTAGAAATTGTGGCGGCACCAAGGCAGGAAGGAACCTGTAAATTATTCAGTCTTAGTTACATGCAGGTTGACAAAACTGACATTTTTTGTTGTCACTTTTGCTTGGCACAGTGTAATTTAGTGATGTGAAGGCTGCATGATGCCATGTCATTTTCTGTTGTGAGTAGGTCTATCACTAAATCGGAAAACAGTAAAATGGCCTCCTAAATGTACTGTTGGTGGTTTATTAAAATTGCACCTGTTAATTGGATAAAGTTTATTATTTTTAAACATGCAGATCAGTGTCACCATTGCTTAACACAATGACATGATGTTATAAATGTAACTAAATAAAAAACAAAATAGCACAATAAATGTCAAGTGCACCCCTAAAGTCATTGTTTGTGATAAACTGTGTTGCAGGCGCTAGGTTTGACCTTTTTCCATCCCTTCTGAGTTTGCAGGTATGTAGTTTACTCTGGGGCCATCTTTTGCCTCTTTTCCACTGAAAGGCGGATCTGCCATGGACTGTGAGGTAAGGGTTTTCTGAGTCTCTTCACCCTAGTAAAAGTTAAAGGCTACATTACTTAGCTGTGAGATTTGTTGGAACAACATCCTGGTATTTTGCTATACTTAGACACAGAATATAACCAGAACTTTTTAACAATTGCAAATGCCATTACTGAAAGCAGTCTAACAGGGTTCCTCATAGAAGATGTGGTGGTCACGGCTACTTGATACAACGAGCTGTGTGATGAAATAAGGGTGTCATGTGTATGAAGGTTAATTGTTTGGACAAGGCTTTCTTGAACCCAGCCTAAGAGGGCCTGTCCGGAGAAACTCAAAAGGCTAGGAGGACCAGGACTGCTCAAGGGGGCTGCATGTTGGAGTAGCTCTGTTACTTTCATTCTGAGATTACTTTTGAAAACTTTAATTCCCCTCTTTTTCTGATATAAAATAGCTTTTTTTTAAATAATTTCCTCTGGTGTTGGATGCTGTGCAGCTGGAAGGATTTTTACTGAAACCTTTGCTTTTGGACATTTGTTATGATTCATAACTATATAACAAGGTTGTTTTTTTACAACTGGGAGAAGCTGATTAACATCTCCAAAGCTCAAATAATATCTCAACTACAGCCCCAAATGAGTTGAAAAGGTGTCGTGGATGCAGGAGCAAAGAGGGAGAGAAGAATGAAATTCAAACCATCTCTTTCATCAATCATGATGGGCAATATGAGATCACTGGGAAACAAGTTGGATGAACTTCAAGCCCTAACATGGACCCATCCAGAGTATCGGGCAGTATTATGTGTTTCACTGAGACATGGCTGCAGGATCATATCCCCGACTCCAACGTTTCTCTGCCAGGCTTTCTGACTATACGAGCAGATGGAGATTTAAAGAGGGGCACAAGTAAAGGAGGTGGGTTGGCAGTGCTTGTGAACAACAGATGTTGTAATCCAGGACACGTTACTGTGAAGTGTCTCTGCAGTCCAGATATTGAACTGTTGGCAGTAAGTTGTCATCCATATTATTTGCCAAGAGTTCACCAGTGTTATTTTGGCAACTGTTTACATTCCACTCAATGCTGTTGCCGAGACTGCATGTGATGTCATCAGCTCAGAGGTTGCTAAGCTACAAACAACACCCTAGTGCGTTTGTTGCAATATCTGGGGATTTTAATCATGTCTCACGCTCTGCTACACTTGACATTCCAACAGCTTGTCAGCTGCTCTACCAGAGAAAACAAAACTCTGGACTTTTTTTATGCAAATGTCAAAGATTCATAAAGCAAGACCCCCTCTTGGCAAATCGGATCACAATCTTGTGTTTCTCTGCTCAAAATATAAACTCTTTTGTTCAGAGGCAACCTATTATAAAGAGAACCGTGAGAAAATGGTCAACGGAAGCTGAAGAAGCCCTGCGAGGTTGTTTTGAGGCTACAGACTGGGATGCATTGCACCAGCCATATGGAGAGGACATCAGTGCCATGACTGAGTGTGTGACAGACTATATAAACTTCTGTGTAAACACCATCCCCTCCAGAACAGTGAGATGCTTCCCCAATAACAAACCTTGGATCTCCACTGATCTGAAGTGGTAAACCAAAAAAAAGAGCCTTCAGGGAGGGAGACAGGGAATTATTGAGGAGTACACAGAAGCAACTAAAAGTCAAGATAAGAAACAGCTAGGAGGTGTACAAGAAGAAGCTGGAGAGCAAGCTCCAGCAGAACAATATCAGAGAGGTGTAGTCGGGGATGAAAAAGATCCCAGGCTTCAAGCAGGAGGATCAGAAGGATGGAAGTCTGGACAGAGCCAATGATCTGCACACGTTCAATAGATTCAGTTCAGGACCAAGCTCAACATCCTCCTCTCTTCACAATCCAAACCAATATAACACCCTCCTTTGACCCAAGGCTGTCCTGTCACACCTCAAATATTGTATCTACCACCTCAGTAATGGACCCTTCTTCTACATGTTTGTCTTCAACCAAATCAGAAGATGTTGATACCTCCTTTGCCTCCCCCCTCTGTGTCTCTAGAAGTCAGGTGAGGAAGCAGCTGGAGAGACTGAACCAGAATAAGACTGCAGGTCCAGATGGTGTCAGTCTGAGTCCTGAAGGCCTGTGTAGAGTAGCCCTGTGGGGTTCTGCAGCACCTCTTCAATCTTAGCCTGACCCTGAAGAAGGTTCCAGTGTTGTAAAAAACCTCCTGCAATGTCCAGTACCAAAGAAAACTCACCCATCAGTCCTCAATGACTATAGACCTGTTGCCCTGACAACCCACATCATGAAGGTCCTAGAGAGATTTCTGTTGGCCCACCTGACTAAACAAACAAGCACATATCAGGACCCACTGCAGTTTGCTTATCGGCGTGGACTTGGAGTTGAAGATGCCATCATACACTTGCTTCAGCAAACTCACTGTCATCTAGAAAAAGCAGACAGCACTGTGAGAGTCATGTTCTTTGACAATCACCTGGATCAAAGACTACCTGACAAAGCAAATCAAGCTAGATTGAGTTAAATGCACTGAAGACAAACTCCAGAAGACTCCGGTGGAGGCCTCAGCAAACAGACCACAGTTTGTGAGACTGAAGGATTGTGTCTAACCAGGTGGTCAGTAGCTCAGGAGCACCACAGGGGTCTGTATTCTCAGCATTCCTTTTCATTCTGTACACCTTAGATGTCCAGTAAAAAAGACTCTGCAGTGGTCAGGTGAAACAGAGATGGACAAGAAGCTGAGCACAGAGAACTGGTGGATCGCTTTGTTCACATTCAAGATGAGATGATTCTTTCCACACCATGCCACAAAGGAGATGGTTGTAGATTTCAGGAGAAAAAGAAACGGGTCCAACACTATTTCCATCACGGTAGAAGAAGTGGAGGTGGTAGTACAAATACCTTGGGGCTCACCTGGACAACAGACTGGATTGGAAATGCAACAGTGAAGCTGTCTACAAGAAGGGACAGA